GGCCGAACTTAACGCTTTTTCACTTGTTTAAATATATCTTTAAGAGGAACACTTCAGCTATGGGCGTCGATTTTTTAAAAAGATTTTTGAAACGTATATTTGAACTAAAGGTGTAGATTTCCATGTTCCAAGGTAGTCCCCATGAAATTTCAACCCACCTCCAAAATTCGCAATTTTGGGGTTTTTGGACACACTTTTTAACCTAATTGGATGTAATTTGGTATTTTGGAGTGCGATATAGTTCTCCTTATTCCTTCCTACTAAAAAGATCAATATTAGTACATATTTTAGGAAAGTCCCCATATAAACTCCAATGTTCGGTATTTGGGGGAGCATGAGCACGTATTTCAACTAATTCGGAATTACACACATATCGAAATTCAGTTCACTTTAAATTAAAATTATAAAATATTGACTCTTTATGGGAGAGGGACCAGAAGGAGAGGACCGACGGCTCCAACCATTGGATTTGATCTAAGCATCAAAAGATAATAGGTTGTGCAAAGTTTAGTTTAAATCGGACATTTCCTTCGCCTAATATTGGATTTGTAAATGTTGACCATTTGTGGTGAAGGTACAAGAAGGAGTGGACAATGTTTCTCATCTTCGGACTTGATCTAGGCCTTTTAAAGGTAATAGGTCGTGCATGGTTTGGTTCAAAACGGACAATCCGTTCGCATGGTGTTATAAAATTAAGTTAAGTTTCAGCAAAATGTTGACCCATTTCAGGAAGAGGTACCAAAAGGAGTGGAGCGATCAAAGTGTTTATAACCTGATTAGCCATAAGGCAGAGGGTATACAAATCTAAAAAATAAGTAGCATTCAAAAATCTGTTTAAAAAATCCACGTCCATAGTTGAAATATTCCTCTCAAAAATCTTTTTAAAAGTCCACGCAAAAACATTCATCCTTCCAATATTTGTAAGTAATTTTCCCCTTTATATGGCACCACGTACATACATATAACGGAACAATTTACATATGAATGTATTTAATGACCTCACTTCCGATCTTTGTGTCCAAAAGACAAATACAAAGTTATATAAAAACTTCCTTACACATGCATAACTTTTAATGACACTCTCTGTAACATTAATCATTGATGAAAATTTCTTTATAAAAATCCATGTCCCATGCCCCCGTAGCTAGCAGTTGTAGTTTAACCATGAACGTTACCGCTCTGTATCAGGCCTACCAGAATAAATTGGGTGGCAGTGAATTGGAAATGAAGACCATGTTTGGGGCCTGTTTACTCCACATTATCAGCCATTACTTGGTGACTTGGGCGAAAAGTTTTATTCTGATAATATCGACGGAACGTGAATCCAGTTCAATTTTCTATAATGATATTCTGGATGAAGCATATAGCGGATGGGGACAGTATGCTTTGCAAATTGTCAATATACAGAAGGGACAACGACCCCGAGTGGATGATATAACCGATTTCCATGTGGTCCTGGTGGATTCGTATGAAAGTTTTGTGTAAGTGTGACACACACACCTATAAATGATATGCCTAATTATCATTTTTGATTTTCAGGGCAACTGATCTTACAGCCCACACTTGGGATAATGATCACAATGAGTACTATTATATCTTTCTTAAGAGATCGGATTCAAAGGTGAGCAGGGATATGCAAAAAATTTTCGAATATTGTTGGCGGAATCATTTAATTAACTGCAATATTCAAATACAAACGGATAGGGGCGAAATGGAATTGTATACCTATTACCCGTTTACACCGCAAAATTGTGGCAAAGTTGAAATTATCCACATAAATACTTTTAATGGTACATCTTTCACGGGTAAGGAGAGATTGTTTCCAAATAAATTGAAAAATTTTTATGGTTGTCCTCTTCGAGTGGCCGTTTGGAATATACCACCATTTTTATCGGTAACAACGGATGCGGAAGGAACGGTGCAATTGAATGGTGGCTTTGAAGGGCGTTTATTGAAACTGTTAAGTAAGCGATTTAATTTCAAGGTCGAAATCCAATTATTTGATGAGAGTGGTCGGGGTAAGATATTTCCCAATGGATCCACTACGGGAGTTTTAAAGTTGGTGAGTGCAGATCTAACATATTTTAATGTTTAAACAGATTTTTGATAGGTATATTCGATCTATATGTGTGAATTTTTTAAACGAAATTTTGAGAGGTATACTTCAGCCGTAGGTGTGGATTTTTTAAATATATTTTTGAGAGGTATATTCGAACTATAGGTGAGGATTTTATATATATTTTGGAGGGGGAAACTCCAACTATAGGTGTGGATTTTAGACAGATTTTTGGCACAAGACATGGATCTTTTAAGCAGATTTTGAAGACGCATGCATTGAGAGGTATACTGCAGCTATACGTGTGGACTTTTTTATCAGATTTTTTAAGAGGTATATTCGAACTATAGGTGTTTGCTTTTTTACAGATATTTGAGAGAAATATTCCAAATATGGGAATGGATTTTTAAATAGATTTTGGAGACGTACTCTTTAGGTATACGTGTGGATTTTTTAAATGAATTTTTAGAGGTGTATTCGAACTATAGACGTGGATTTGTTAAACTGATTATTGAAGGGAATATTCTAACTAAGGGCATACATTTGTAAACAGATTTTTGAGGGGTATATTTCAGCAATAGGCATGGGGTTTTTAAGAAGATTTTAAAGACGCATACTTTAGCAAAAGGCACGGATTTTTCAAACAGATTTTTTTTCATACAGATTTTTGAGAGGTATACCTCAGCTATAGGTGTGGACTTTTCGAACAGATTTTTGAGGGGTATACCTCAGCTATAGGCGTGGAGTTTTCGAACAGATTTTTGAGAGGTATACCTCAGCTATAGTCGTGGATTTTTCAAACAGATTTTATTTGAGCTATTTTCCTTTTTTCTTTCTTTCAGTTAAATGATCGCGAATTAGATTTTGGTATGGGTTCATATCATCAAAATGGCGAACGAAATAGGGTGGTCACATCAAGTGTCAATTACTATCAATCGATTATATCGGTGGTGATGTTGAAAAATGCATTACGCATACGTAAATCAGAGGTCCTAATACATCCCTTTAAAACGAGTACATGGCTGGTGATATTATTCACTAGTGCAGTGGTCGTCTTGGTTGTCTACTTCCTGCGTCATTTACGCCATATACCGGCAGGCCAACCTGTCACCGATGTCTTCGTCAGTATGTTGGGAATGCCTCTTATCTATATGTCACAATATAAAGAGATGCGTGTCTTTGCCATGGCGTGGATTTTCTTCACCCTTGTTCTGCGTAGCATCTATTTGGGTTATCTCTTTCACATGATACGATCACATCTGCAGATCGCACCACCCGTCGATTTTAATGATTTAATTAATCGCAATTTCCACATTGTTGTTAGTCAACGTATGAATAACATAATAAAACACACTTCGGAACTGCAAGGTCTTAACTACACCATCCTACAGAATACCCCTGAAAGTTATACTCTGGAATATTTATTAACATTGCCCAAGGAATACGCGAAGTATACTGTCGGAGTATCGGCAATCGATTATTTGCAATATAATATTCGTGTGATGCGTAAGCGGCGAGTATTTCAAATAATACCCTACGATATTATCGGATTTAAGACCTGCATATATATGGCTAAACATTCGTATTTGAGTAATCAATTTAATGATTTTCTAATATGGGTACGTGATTCGGGTTTATTGGGATATTGGAAAAGGATCCAATTGGATACGGGGTATATAAACATGAAATATCATAGCGAAGATGAATTATTCGATATGTCCGAATTGAGTATGGCATTTTATGTGGTGATTTTGGGTGATGTTGTAGCTATTGTGGTATTTATTATGGAAGTATTTTATCACAAATATTGGGTGAATAAAAAAATAAATAATCAACATAAATGCTCTGAATGTAAAAATATATTCGAAATTTATTAAATGTTAAAACTTAAAAACTTAAGCCTGTTTTTTAATATTTTGAGTGGAATATAAGCTTAGATATTTAAAACAGATTTTTGAGAGGAATATTCCAGCTACAGGCGTGGATTTTTAAATCGATTTTTGAGAGTAATATTCAAACTACAGGCGTCGATTTATTAACCAGATTTTTGAGAGGTATACTACAGCTATAGGCGTGGATTTTTTAAAACAGATTTTTGAGAGGTATACTTCAGCTATAGGCGTGGATTTTTTCCAACAAATTTTTGAGAGGTATACTTCAGCTATAGGCGTGGATTTTTTGAAACAATTTTTTGAGAGGTATACTTCAGCTATAGGCGTGGATTTTTGAAACAAATTTTTTGAGAGGTATACTTCAGCTATAGGCGTGTTTTATAGGCGTTTTTTTTAAAAAATTTTTTGGGAGGTATGCACTATAGGTGTGGATTTTTAAACAAATTTTTGAGAGGTATACTTCAGCTACAGGCGTGAATTTTTTAAACAAATTTTTGAGAGGTATACTTCAACTATAGACGTGGATTTTTTGAAACAAATCTTTGAGAGGTATACTTCAGCTATAGGCGTGGATTTTTTTATACAGATTTTTGAGAGGTATACTTCAGCTATAGGTGTGGATTTTTTTAAACAGATTTTTGAGAGGTATACTTCAGCTATAGGCGTGGATTTTTTTAAACAAATTTTTGAGAGGTATACTTCAGCTATAGGCGTGGATTTTTTAAACAAATTTTTGAGAGGTATACTTCAGCTATAGGCGTGGATTTTTTAAACAAATTTTTGAGAGGTATACTTCAGCTATAGGCGTGGATTTTTTAAACAGATTTTTGAGAGGTATATTCGAACTATAGGCGTGGATTTTTTAAACAAATTTTTGAGAGGTATACTTCAGCTATAGGCGTGGATTTTTTAAACAAATTTTTGAGAGGTATACTTCAGCTATAGGCGTGGATTTTTTTAAACAAATTTTTGAGAGGTATACTTCATCAAAGGCGTTACATTTATTTGAATTCTATAAACTATATTACAAGCTTTAATTTTTAATCTTAATCTTAATCAAATAACATTCTCAATTTCTTCACCTTCCTCGACAGTACTTCCAAAATAAATGTAAATATCGCCACCATATTCAGTACCCCGCAAATAAGATAAATACCCAGCAGATCATTTTGTTTGATCATTTTATCTTTCACTTGCTGGGAATTCTTTGAAGTTCGGGTGTCAAAATATCGCTTCATATAATACCCCAAAAGGCCACTCGATCTCATATCCCTAATTGTAATATCGAATTGGCGAGCCAAATATGTATGCTTGGCGAAATAAATCGACAGCTGTTGCTTCATAACCGTCTCCGGAATTGTGTAGAACATTTCAATTTTATCATTTTCCTGGGTATAATACATTAAAAATTCCTTCGAGACCACGGCATAGGTTTTGCGATTCAGATGTTCTTCCATATATTTAATGGCGATCATTTCATCGCTTGAATTTAAAATTATCGGTTGTAGATTATGACGATATCGCTGGCGGTAGAATGGTATATTCTCAACATCAAAGTAGGTGTAGTGATTCATTATCGAGATATAATGCTGATTTGTGGCATCCTGTAGGCTAAGGGGTAATTTATTGTAGATATCGTTACTGAACAGATAGTAGAGGAGGCCAGAGTAAATCGATCGTAAAAGGAATGTACCCCATATCCAGGGTCCAAGCATTAAATACGAATGTCGATACTCGATATTTTCACGAATTGGTAAACCAAAGGTAGTTGTTAGCATCGAAAAGGTTCGCATTGATTTGGGATGTTGCAGGCGTATCAAACGGGTCACAGTTAAAATTAGTGCGACACAGAGTATAATTACACCCCACGTTTGTAGGTGAAAGGGATACGCCAGTACTTCGAATGTGTTGAATACATGGGGCCGGAGATAAATTGCCCCAATCACCGAACTTTGAAAATGCGGCACAGTATTTGTATAGAGCTCCGTGGTAATCGATCGTTTGCGATAATAACCGAAGACGAAGTCTGCTGTACGATTTACCAGCTATTTAGAGAAGTAAATATAAGAAAAAATATAAAAACTAGATTAGTAACATCGAAAAATTAAACTCGTGGTCCCCAAGAATGGATCAAGAGACATTAGATTTACTATATAGAAATTGAAAAATGGGAAAGCCGGAAAAATCGCAGAAGGTGTCCGGAATGGATGTATAAAATATATTTTTCATATGACCCGTATAAGGCGTGGATTTTTTAAAGAATATTTTTTCATCGACCCATCATTACAAGGCGTGGATTTTTTAAAGAATATTTTTTCATCGACCCATCATTACAAGGCGTGGATTTTTTAAAAGAATATTTTTTCATCGACCCATCATTACAAGGCGTGGATTTTTTAAAAGAATATTTTTTCATCGACCCATCATTACA